GATGACTGGGATGACTAAGGATGACTAGGGATGACTAGGGATGACTAGGGATGACTAGGGATGACTGGGATGACTAGGGATGACTAAGAATGACTAGGGATCACTGGGGATGACTGGCATAACTAGAGATGACTAGATTGACTGGAATGACTAGAGATCACTGGGATGACTAGGAATGACAAGGGATGACTAGGGATGACTAAGGATGACTAGGGATGACTGGGATAACTAGAGATGACTAGGGATGACTAGGGATGACTAGGGATGACTAAGGATGACTAGGGATGACTGGGATAACTAGAGATGACTAGGGATGACTAGGAATGACTAGGGATGACTAGGAATGACAAGGGATGACTGGGATGACTAGGGATAACTGGAATGACTAAGGATGACTAGGGATGACTAGGGATGACAAAAGATGACTAGGGATTACTAGGGATGACTGGAATGACTGGGATGACTAGGGATGACAAGAGATGACTGGGATGACTAGGGATGACTGGAATGACTAGGAATGAGTAGGGATGACTAAGCATGACTAGGAGTGACTAGGGATAACTAGCGCTGACTAAGGATGACTGCGATGACTAGGGATGACTAGGCATGACTAGGAGTGACTAGGGATAACTAGGGATGACTAAGGATGACTGCGATGACTAGGAATGTCTGGGATGACTAAGGATGACTAGGGATGACTAGGGATGACTAGGGATGACTAAGGATGACTAGGGATGACTAGGGATGAGTGGGATGACTGGGATGACTAAGGATGAGTAGGGATGACTAAGGATGACTAAGGATGACTAGGATGACTAGGGATGACTGGGATGACTAGGGATGACTAGCGATGTTTAGGGATGACCAGGGACGACTAGGGATGACTAGGGATTACTGTGGATGACTAAGGATGACTAGGGACTCCTAAGGGTGACTAGCGATGTTTAGGAATGACTAAGGATGACTAGGGATGAATAAGAATGACTTGGGAAGACTGGGATGACTAGCGATGACTAGGATGACTAGGGATGACTAGGGATGACTAAGGATGACTGGGATGACTAGGGATGACTAAAAATGACTAGTGATGCTTAGGGATGACAAGGGACGACTACGGATGACAAGGGATGACTGGGATGAGTAGGGATGACTACGCATAAATAGGGATGAGTAGGGATGACTAGGGGTGACTGGGATGACCAGGGATGAGTGAGATGACTAAGGATGACAAGGTATGACTAAGAATGACTAAGGATGACTAGGGATAACTGGGATGACTAGGGATCACTAGGATGACTAAGGATGACTAGCGATGTTTAGGGATGACTAGGGACGACTAGGGATGACTGGGATGACTGGGATGACTGGGATGACTGGAATGACTGGGATGACTAGGGATTCCTAGGGATGACTAAGGATGACTAAGTATGACTAAGGATGACTGGGGATAACTGGGACGACTGGGGATAACTGGGATGACTGGGGATAACTGGGATGACTAGGGATGACTGGGCTGACTAGGGATGACTGGGATGACTAGGGATGACTGGGATGACTAGGGATGACTGGGATGACTAGTGATGACTGGGTTGACTAGGGATGACGAGGATGACTAGGGATGCCTGGGATGACTAGGGATGACAAGGGATGACCAGGCAAGACTACGCATGACTGGGATGAGAAGGGATGACTAGGGATGACTACAGATCACTAGGGATAACTAGGGATGACTGGGATGACTGGGTATGACCGGGATGACTAGGGATAATTGGTTTGATTAGGGATGACTAAGGATGACTAGGGATGACTAGAAGTAATTAAGGATAACTAGGGATGACTAAGCATGACTAGGGATGACTACGGATGACTACGGATGACTTGGGATGACTGGGATGACTAGGGATGACTGGGCTGACTAGGGATGACTGGGATCACTCTGGATGACTAGGGATGACTAGCGATAACTAAGGATGACTAGGGATGACTAGGGATGACTTGGATGACTGGGATGACTGGGATGACTAGGGATGATCGTGGCGGGCGATCTGCACCTATTTGAAATTTTGTTTGTGACTGGCTGGGAAAACAATAGGGGTTGTGACAACAATGCCTCTATCCCTGAAAACAATGTAATTGAGGATTAAAGGGGAACAATGAATTAAGAGCCAGTCTCTGTAAGATCCTCATATCGAGTTTTGCCCACAAAATGGATTTCGCTCATAATTTTTCTGTAGACTTCTTTTAATAAGTATATAACAAATATGAAACTAGATTGGAGAAATTCGCTTGTGTAAATTTTGCTTAACGAATTATCTTTCGGCGCCACACAAGGATCTGAGATGCTTGTGAAATATGCAAATTTTGTCAAAATTCAACTGATTGCTCCGGATAAAAGAGTGCGACCCAAAGCTTCCAATTTACTAGTTGATTTAATTGAGCCTTTATCTTTAAAATAATACAGGTCAGAATCATCAACACCTTTTCATTTAGAAAATCTGAG